TGCTGCTGGTGAAATGAGACCTTTCTCAATGATCTTGTTTCCTTTCCTCGAAGAGGAGCGGTTGGGTATAACCACCCCCGCGTTTGTGGAGCGGAGGCTGCTCCGGGCCTCGGTCACGCCCAGCAGCGACCACAGCGCTGGCGGGGAGAAGGGTAGCGGGAGGCGGCGGACTGGTGATGCCGCATTTTCTGGGCTGCCTATAAGCACCCGCTCTCCTCTGAAAGGGAAGGGCGGTCGGATTTCACTGGCGCCTCCTCCCGCCAGAGCCGGCGGCCTGCGGGAGATATAAATAGGGACTGACTTCAGCGGGCGGCGGGGGCGGCCGGGCGCCCCAGGCCCGTGACTTTCCGCCTGATGGGCGGAAGCGCGCTCCCGCTCGCCATGTGACCGAGCGGGCAGCGAGGGCTCGTCTGCCGCCCGAGCGCCCGGGGCAGAGCCGCGGCGGCGGGGTCGGCCGGGGTGAGTGTGCGGCTGGAGGTGGGCGCCTTTGGAGTGAACCCGGGTGACACCCGGAGTGCATCCCGGAGCCTGGAAAAGCTCGACTTGTTCAGCGTCGGGTAGCAACGACTTGACCTTTCCGTTAGGGGCACGTATTTCTAAGTGGTGGAAGAATGTGCAGACAAAAGGAGCTGCGGAGTATGTAGTTTGTAGTAGGATAATAGTAGCGTTAGCACCTAAAGCAAGATTTAGTAAATGGTGAAATCTGTTGTGGCACACTGACTTGGAAGTGAAGCAAGTAGATTGAGGTCGGTGTTGGCAGTGTGTTTGGTGGCACTTAGATCTTACCGACTTAGTAATAAAAGGACTGGAGTACAGTCTTTATTTATAATATACAGATATAGGTCTTACAATATAGGTGACGAGATTGTTTTTAGATTTCTCTAGGTGGGTCATGTTTTTTTCTGGCTCACTTGCGTGGTGTGTATGGCTGTCAAACTGTATCAGAGTAAGTGTGAAGCTGTTGTGTAGCCTGAAAAGACACTGTTTATACCTGGAAGGTATTATAAAGCCATAAATAGTACAGCTATTTATATCTGGAAAATTGGGTCCTGTGACCACCAGCAAGCAAGCAGATGAATTTTGCTTGTTTGCTTTCTTCTGGTTTTGGTTTACTTTGATGCCAGGAGTTTAGTTTAGCTGGACAAAGGCAGCTGTCAGTTGCAATTTTCATACCCAATCTAAAGTTTACACTAAAATGTCTTCGGGTGCCATATACATGGCTTCTACTAAATTTATATTTTAGTGCAGTATTCTTACATGTCCTCAAATTGTAGCAGATTGTGTGATTACTGTGTTCCAGTTTTATTGTCCTTGGGAATCAAGGATTTGGTTGCTGTGCAGTTTTCTACTAACCTTGCTTTGCAGAGGTTAGCAGATGACGAGGTGAAAATTTTTATTTACGGCAGAGAGTTGGCACTGACTGCCTCTGGTAGGCTCAGAAGTCTTGCTATAACTTTATTAAGACACAGGGTTCTTTTTTCTTTTGTAAGTGTGTAAGCTTACCTGTAAACAGGTTGTTAATTGTATTTTTCTTGGAAGAGTATTGTGAGAGCAAGAACTGCTAATAGTGGAATTAGCCTCAAAATGATGAGAGATCGGCACTGAAAAAGCGAGGAGTTAGAAAAAGTAAGCTATATAGTTTACTAGAACTGTTTTGTGGGTATAAACTTGGTCTTGCTTATTCTGCATTCTGTTAGTGCTCAGAGATTAGTAATTAAGGAGTTTTTTTGGCTGTCAAATTAAATTAACTTGTACATGCAGCTCAGTGCCCAACAGGTATATTATTTCTCGATACTTTTTCTTCTCTTAATGGTTCATAATGATATTACTTAGCAATACAGTTGGAGTCGTGAATGCCATATTAACATTCATATAACCCTCTTTAAGAATGCTGATATCACTTGGGGGGCAGGTGAGCAGACATACTTTTAATTCTGTAACCCTGTAATTGATTTTGGTGACATGCCAGCTCCTAATGCAGTTCTTGATTTTATTTACAGCATCGAGATGACTCAGGAGACAAACCAGACCCCAGGGCCTATGCTGTGTACTACAGGATGTGGATTTTATGGAAATCCTAGGACAAATGGAATGTGTTCTGTTTGCTACAAAGAACATCTTCAGCGACAGCAGAATAGTGGTAGAATCAGCCCAATGGGTAAGGGTGTGTGGTGTTGATTTTTTCTTTTTTTTTTTTTTACTTCTTTCCAAGTTAAGCTATGGAAGATTACGAGGAATCCTAGAAAATTTTTTAGGAGAACTTCTGAAAGTTATATACTAAAACAATGAATATCCAAGAGATACTACTTTAAATCACAGTAAAGATAAAAGTACATTTCTGTATAATGTATTCTGGTTTGCTTGGCATTCAGTCATAACTTGCTTTCCCACTTAGCCTCCTCTGTTAGTGTATTCTTATGCAATCTGTATTTTGTTTAACAGTTTACCATGTCTTTAAGTAAAAAGTAATATGCAGTAGCAGTGAAGATTTTATACAGACAGTTCATAGCTGTATGGGAGACTATTTGACTAATGTGTTTGCTACAATTTGTTTGTAACATGTCAAATTCTCGTTGTACAGGAACAAGCAGTGGTTCAAACAGTCCTACCTCAGACTCTGCATCTGTACAGAGAGCAGACACTAGCTTAAACAACTGTGAAGGTGCTGCTGGCAGCACATCTGAAAAAACAAGGTAAAATTAAAGTATTACTATGAGGTTTGAATGAGCCGAGTGTGCAGCAAGTTGAAGGCTTGCAGCAATCCTGCCCTATCATAGTGGGTGTCTGCAGAGGAAAAAGGACCCGTGACCTGACAGGGCTTTAAGATAATCTGTGTAAATGAAAAATTATTCAAATATTTGTGACACTGATTCAGTTAAAAGAATGTTCTTTGTTTATTTGCTGAAATAATTTGCTACAGGCTTGCCTGTTTTCTTCTGTGGAAACTAAAACAGTAAAAAAATTATTTTGGAGACAATAGAAGCACATGTCAGGAAAATGAATCAGTAGTAATTGAACCAGTAGTTTATTAAGGTCCAGAATGGACAGTTTAAGCTTTTATCATGAATGTAAAACTAATGTAAATTGTGTGTTTCACTGTACTTAAACAGAAACGTGCCTGTTGCCGCTTTGCCTGTAACACAGCAAATGACAGAAATGAGCATTTCAAGAGAGGAAGAATTAACACCCAAAACAGAGACGGAGCCAGGTATGTTCTCAAAATAACACTGGGTACAAGCAGTGCCTTAACACTGGGTACAAGCAGTGCCTTAACACTGGGTACAAGCAGTGCCTTAACACTGGGTACAAGCAGTGCCTTAACACTGGGTACAAGCAGTGCCTTAACACTGGGTACAAGCAGTGCCTTAACACTGGGTACAAGCAGTGCCTTAACACTGGGTACAAGCAGTGACTTAACACAAGGTGGAGGGTTTGTTTATCTTCTGAGTAGCTGTCTCCTGTTGCAGTGATAGTCTTGAGGAACTGTGTTAAGGGTGCTTCTGAGTACTCTCTCCTCAGAATTGAGAAAAAGGAGAGCTTTAAGATACAATGTTCAGTGTTAGTAAAAAAAATTGACACTTGTGAGAGTGGTTTTGAATCCCAAACCTTTGTTTTTAAAGGTGAGGCATTCTAAAATTGCATTTGGTCAAGGTGTTCAGTTTTGAAATCAAACTATTGAGATTCTGTGTATTATCAAGCACTACAATTCCAGCTGACTCATGGCAGTCAAAATGGCTTTTTGCATTTTGGAGAACTGTGCTTAATAAATTCCATTCTACAGAGGAGCGAGGATGTGGGGAAAGGGAATACGTGGCTTAAAAACATTAACGAAGCTGCTTAGGGTTCTCAAACTTATTGAGTAATCAGTAGATGGACCCAAAGCATTGTTCCAGGAAAGTAGGATAGTTGTCGCTTTAATTGCTGTGTATTAATTATCATTTAACAGTTTTATTCTCATGCTGGATTGTTACAGTTGTAGTAGTTAAACTTCAAAGTGTAAACTGTTCCATGGAGGGAGGGATAGCTTGCTAAACTACAACTAGTGATTAAATCCATATCAGTACGTTCAAATGGACATCTTAACACACTTGATTTGTACTTAAACATATCCACACTGTATTTAAGAGTTGTGACACAGTTTTAAAGATTAAAAGCTGATGTTTAGTAGGAAGTCTGTTGATTCAAGCAAAGATAAAATCCGTTTTTTCAGTATGAAGTCAGTAACATGAAAATTGCAACAGATGCTACTCAGCACTGTATCAGTGATTTTTATGTAGTTATATCTTTGCTGACAAAGACTCCTCTGACACTTGATATTTAATTGCTCAGTACTTGTACAGAGGATTTTACCATTTGCGTAAGTCATGCTAAGTCAAGGTTCTGTGACACGAACAGTACAGTTATATGATATGTTGGGTTTTTCATTATGTATGGACTGAGGGGGGCTTTTTTGCAATTATTAAATTCCTGTAACTGATGCTGTCTGAAGAGGCTTTCATTATGTAACTGAAAAATAATTAAGACTTTGATACAGTATTCATTAACCCATTGGGCCTTGTTATGAAATCCCTCCTACCTGAATGTGACAAGAAGGAAATAGGAATACGTAAAATGGTAGTAGTGATGTAGTCATAGGTGACTTTAAATCTTAGAACTACTGTCATTTTGCCAGTTGTAAAGGAAATCTTTTATTATTGTTGATATATTACCTGTTTTTCATGTACTGTGAGTCAACTGTATGATAGATAGCGTCACATAGCACACTATTGATAAAAATGGGGGAGAAATCCAAAGCAGCTCAAGATACTTACATATTGTAATAAATAATCTCACAGGTTGAAACCAGTAAAAGCTGTCACAAGCTTGTGTAGAGATCACTGGAAAAAGTACCAAAGAACTTAAATGTCTCTGGAAAAAACTTGAAGAGCAAAACTACCTTCCTGAGAACATCCCTGTAAATTCGTGAGGCAACCTCACCTGCTCTGATGTCCAAGTTCCCTTTCAAGTATTTGGTTTGGCACAGATCCTAGACAGCATAAGATAGTGTCATTGTATACTATTCTTAGTGTTTGTTGGAGATCTTAAACAAACAGTGTTGGCTGTATTCAATGGTATGTTGATCTGTGTCTTGCAGGCAAGAGAAGCTGGCCTAGACTTTTTATACAAAATTCCTGTTGTGTCTGGACTAGGCAGATTTTTTTATCTTCCTTTTTCCAATAGCATCTATGATGTCTCTCCTTTCAAGGGCATACTGAAATAATGGTAAATAATTCGCATCACCTCATAACAACAAAGCTAATACTTCCTGTGAGGTGTAATTCTCTGAGATAATGCTGCAGTCATGGAGTAGTTAAGGTATCACAGGCTGGCTGTAAGTATAGTCTGACCCTAGCAACAATTTTATTACCAGGTAGTAACAGATCAATAACCGTATCTTCAACAGTATCAAGTGACATCCTCTTCTGTAGATTTTCATTAGCAAATGAAATTTTGTATGTTTTCCTTACAAACCAGAAATTTAAAAATAGAATTACATCTGATCAACTAATTTTTTTAACAGTCTCTAGCATAAAATTATACTTGTTTGCTTTTGGAATTAAAATAAGTGAGTATAGAAGGTAGGGGAGTTGAGAAAAAATCAAACAGTGAAGCATAACAAGCTAGGTTTTCTTTATTTTCTGGGGAGGGAGTCAGTTTTTTTTTCTTCTTTGTGCAGGTCGAGGTTTCAACCTGGATTCGTTGGTAACAAATATGGTGCTGAGACAATTAATTGTACCTTAACATTTGAAGACAGGCATGATGGATAGTTGGTCAACTTAGTTGGTCACTTAATTGGTTGTAATTTGCATATGTAAGGTGCTGCGTGTTCATGTAACTGTAACTTTTTAGTTCAACTTACTTTGTTGCAGTTTCATAACTGAACAGTGGCATGTGTTCAGTGCAGTTGTGTCTGAATTTCTCATGTCAAAGAAACTTTATGTCCAAACTCAAACTCATAAATGAATGCTATTTACGATACAGATTTTATAGGATTCTGATAAGCTTTTACACTTTGTAAGGATTGAATTTTAACAGTCTTGTATTATAGAAATATGATTCACAGTTGCTTTTTTTGCCCTGCTGAGTTGTAGGAATTAAATGCAAAATGTAGCGAACTCTGTTCCATTCTGTGGGTTATGCTGTCAGAGCAATATATCTACCAAGTTAGCAAGGCATAGTGGAGGCCTTTCTTAAGGAACTTCTTTTGCTTATTTTAGCAGGTATTTAAATGGAAATAAGTGTATAAAAGAGAGTTAAATTAATAGTAACCACTAAAAATAATGGGTTTGGAAACAAGTATGTTTAAAAAATTGAATTGTTTCAAATCACAGCATATTTTTAGCATTTTTTGTACTTTTGTATGTCATTATCTTGCTGAATGAACAGCCTCTAGTCAGATCTGTCAGTGTTTTCAGACACAGTATCAGCATGTGTGTGTTTCAGAGGTTTAAGGTGCTTTCTGTGGTTGTTTTTTGTTTTTATTTTTTCAGGAGGTTTTGGTTGGGTTGTGGTTTTTTGAAGGCAATAATAGCTCTGTTTTAGGGAGTAGTGTGATTAGCTATTGTTTGTAAACCCACAGCTGCAAAGTAATACTGCTTACAAAAAAAGTAAACCAGAAAATGAACTGATAATGATATTGTGTAAATTACATTTACTGTTAACTTCCATCCATGCTGTAATTTACCCTTCCATTTCCCGAATTCACCAGTGGCAGTGTTGAAAGACAGTGGGCAGTAGTTGGTTGGCACACATCTTTTGACTTCCTACCAAGCCATTATGCTTAGAGCTATTTTAGAGCTGTCCTTCATTCAGGTTGAGAAACCCTTGCATATGTTGTGGGTAGAACCAATGTGTTACATCTGTGATGGGTACAGTGTGTTGCAGGTATTATTGTGAGTAAGATAAAAGTAAAGTAGCTTATGAGATATTGTAGGCTCAAGATGGTTAAATACATGACATGCCTTAGGTCTTGTTGTAATTCTGTTTCATTTTCACATATGGCTGTAGTAGTTGAGCTGTGTTGCTATCGTAGACAGTTCTGTTGTGATTGTTGGTAATATTGTCTGATGTGGTAACTCAGTATTGTGTTGAAAATAATTAGCTTTCCTTCATTTCCCATGTATGCTGTAGCTTTGGTAGATGCCCCTGATTGAGAAATTTCTGAAATGGAATTTCTTGTAAGCCCTGAAACTGTCCACATTGTAAAAGGAGGCTGCGGACCCAACTGCTGGTCCTATTCTTGTTCATGATAGGATGGTATTATTTTACTAATGATATCCCACAGACATCATCTTTATGATGACCGTATTAAACCATATGACTGTGATACTGAAACTTTACATTGTATTAATGTGGCATTAAAGATATTAAATACATGTGTTAGAGTTGGTCATGTGGGAAATGAGTTTCATGCTGCAGAATATTTCTATTCCCATTCTTTGGCATGAAAGTAAGCTTGATGGAAGTTTATTCTGTGGCCTTTTATTACAGGACTGGGTTGGCATAGCAATTGTAGTTCCTGAATATAGAAAGGTATTTACATTCAGGAAGCTTGATAAAGCATAATAAGTAGTGTCCATCTTTTCAGACTAAAATTTTATGTACAAATACATTGTTGTCATGGATTAGCACCAGCTCGCAACTAAGTACCACACAGCTCAGTGCCCCCTACAGAGTGGGGAGGACAGCTGTGGGAAAAAAACTAAACCCTGTGGGATAAGATGAAACCAGTTTAATAATTAAAACAAAGTAAAATAAGCAATGTCAATTATAATAACAACAATAATGATTTTAATGAAAAGGGGAGATAGAGGAATAAAACCCAGAAACTCCACAAGTGATGCACGCTACAAATGGTCACCACCTGCTGACTGATGCCCAGCCCATGCCCCAGCAGTGATTGGCAGCTCCCAGCCAACTCCCTCCTGGAAGGATGTTCTATGATGTGGAATAACCCTTTGGCTAGTGCATTCAGGTCAGCTGTCCCAGCAATGCTCCCTCAGGGCTTTTTGTGCATATGCTTGCTGGCAGAGCATGGAAAACTGAAAAGTTTGTGATTTAAAATAAGCACTATTTAACAACAATTCAAACATTGGTGTGTTATCAGCATTATTCTCATACTGAATCCGAAATGCACTGTACCAGCTGCTGAGAAGGTTAACTCCATCC